AATTTATTACTAAATGATTTTGGTAAGGCTACATGCTATTGAATAGGGGTTTTTTTGTATTTCTTTATAAATATAGTTAAACATATGTAATCTTTGTTTTAAGTCACCATGGTAGGGGAGAGATTCCTCTCAATGTCATCCTTTTGTGTCTGTGTATTTATATCTGTGTGTCTGTAATGGTATGAGTGAAAATGATTGACACCAAGTAACCATGGGAGAAAACCTGCGTTGAAAGGCCCTGTAATATGACCAAAGCAGTCCAAGACACAATGTGGTATTACCTCAAGGTTTATTACTTGAAGTGGTATTAGTTCATTTGCCTGTAACAGGCAGAAGAAAACAGAAGGCAGAGGAATGTAATGAGAGCTTTTCTGTACTTCTGTTATGTATGTGCCCTTGAACATGAAAGAAAATTACGTTAGCAATAACACGATACCAGTGGATCAAAGTTACTCATATTTTTGATAGATGGTTTTCTTTCTGAGGGAGGATGGATATGTAAATTTGTGTGTTTGATAACTTGAATTTTATGTATATGAAGTCCTAACTCAATGAAGGGTAATATGGTTTTATACTTTTAAAATTGTAAATAAATTGTTCAAAATGCCTTTTGAAAACTCTTCCTTTTTTTTCTAATAATAAGATTGTGGCATCTTTCAGTGTGGTTACTAATGGCACTGCACCATACTAGTTTACATGATCATGGTCTAATACCCAGCATTTGCATATAAACAACCATCTGTTCCACTGAGCTCCAATAACACAGTAAAAGCTAAGTTTGAATTTTGTGTAATGAAATGTAATTCAATAAACTGGTTCAATGTCAAAAGGAATATTTGCTATAAATGCAAATAGCAAACCCTTACCCTCTGCCCATCCAAGAAGTTTGTTTCCTCATCAAAACAGATTGGGAGAAAGTTAACATTACTTGGCTTACTCACCAACGGATCCTCTGCAGTGAATGGGTGCCATCAGAATGAGAGTCCAAATTGACAGAAACCTTAATAGTCCATGAGTAACCAACAAGACTCCAGTCCATCTATTAAAATCTTAAGTGAAAAGCTGTGTGTTTGTAAGAAACAAATCCAGAATAAAGACATTTTTGGATTTTGATGTGAGAGGACAAGACTGGAGGAAGCACGATTAAGGATTTTCTATATATTTTGGCAACAAGCGACGGTTTGAAGTTAAGTTTTAATGATGGATTTGTTTCTTACAAATGGGCAGTTTTTCACTTTACAAGACATTAATTGATGGAGTGGAGTTGTGTGGATTATTGTGATGTTTTTATCAGCTGTTTGGACTTTGGACCTCATTCTGACGGCACCCATTTACTGCAGAGGATCCGTTGGTGGGCAAGTGATGTAATGCTAACCTAACCAAATCTGTTCTGATGAAGAAACAAACTCATCCACATCTTGGATGGCTTGAGCGTTAGTAAATTTTCATTTTTTGGTGAACTGTTCCTTAAATAGTAGCTAGTATTTATAGTACCACTAGTTAATACAGTATATTAACAAAGCCACACTACCTGACATCTTAAATGTAACAAGATCTGAGAATATAATATTCCCTTCGTACATTTCCCCCTCCCCACTTTGGGACTTTTTTCATCAAACAGGTTTACACAAAAAGTACTTTTTCATGAGCAGATTGATTTAATGACAATTAATTAGTCAGTAGCAATGTGTCTGTTATCAGGACATTAATCATTAAACAACTAAATGCTTTGCTTTGGAATACAAAATTGAAATGTAATCACAAAAAAGACCTAGTTATGAAAATAATATATGATATATTAAACATAATTTCAGCTTCATTAAACAAATGCCCCTAAGTGAAGATATTAATAGCGAGTCATAATTTATTCATGATGTAACTGCCTATAGTCATTTCATTCAATAAATAACGCATCTGCCATGTTTTCTTTTCATATGCATGACATATCTCATAGAATATGCTAATTTTCCTAGAGGAAAGAAAATGATGAGAAAACAGAGAAGAGGGGAAAGTATCTGAACATTTCACCAGCTGCATTCAAAACTGGCACAGCTCAAAACCACCACTATGGGTGAAGGAGCATGTCGTGAGGATGATTTCTTTGAGCAGTCTCTTAGTCAGAGAAGATAGTTAGTGGGAGGAAGATGATGCAGGGCAGCTGAACGTTTGGCAGACACACCAATGCCCCATCAGCTGCGTCACTGAACCAGTTCAGTCATGAAGGTCAGCTCTGCCACCTAGTGTACAGTCCTCTCCTTCTGCCGATGGTAGTCTAGAAAAACAGACACAACACACATTTATGTCAGGTACTCCAACTGAATCAGTTGACTGAAATGTCACATTTGTTTTGCTTAATTAAGCAAAACACTTCATATTCAGTAATATGATCAGATTATTAGATGAGAACAACACTTGAAATGAGCTGGACTACTGTCTCAAGGGAAAGATGAATATAATACTCACTGTAAGGGAAGTATCGAACCTTCATCAAAATCTCTCTTGCAGTCTTTAAAATCTCAACAGCCTAGGAGAGAAATCAAGATCATACCAATTCTGTTTAGAAGATGAGATATCCAGCGTGTTTCTGTCTTTCAGACTGACACATCAGATCTTACCTTTGAATGCTCAATGTCTTGAAAGTCCACGTCATTGACAGAAAGCACCTGATCGCCCTCTTGCAGTCCTGCCCTATGGGCATCTGAATCTGGCACCACCTGTCAAAACATTTTGAGCAAAACCATGATGATGAAGTCAATTCTTTAGCTGAAACATAAACCAAGAAGGTTTTAATTGGCAAAACTGACCTTTGAAATAAATATACCAAGCTGGGAGGCCTTTCCTCCACGGATATTGAAGCCCAGTTGTGCACCGGGCGGCTTTTTTAACACTATAGTGCGAGGTAGAAACTGAGTGAGCTCATTGTTGTAGTCAGGGTGATGTATCCTCTGATTATAAGAAAGAAAAATGTAAATTAGGCCAGTATGATTACAAAAGATGTGTTGAATAACTGTCCAATAACTGTCACCTCTTGAGTAGGGATCCATGCAGGAGGGCTCTCATAGGAAGGAAGAAACACTACTGGCAGTTGATAATCGTCGTATGGAATCTTTTGGTCCATGTTTTTCGAGCTAGACATGAGGGTGCGAGAAAACGTAAACAGTGAATTTATGATGACAATCGTCTTCGATATATTTTAAGTGTAAGGTTTCTTTTCTACTTTTAAAGACTAAACTAGGTTCCTTACAAAACTGTGAATATACTGATGGCTAAAGCATGAAATTACCAAAGATTTATAATCAAAGGGGTGTAAATTCACTCTCTACGGTTCTCATTGTACAGTGAGTACAGCACGCTAGCTCGCTAACACTCAACAGTAAACACAAGATGCGCTGCACAATGAGCTTTAGGCGTGCAAATTGCCAAAACGCCGCGCGAATGAACTTACGATACAAACATTCTCAAACTAAAATGAAAGACAAGCAAAATATACAGCTGCTTTTGCTCGACAGTTTTGTTTTCGTCTGTCAACTCACCAAGAACTCCTCGAGCGAACCATTAGCCCCGCCCTCCTATAGATCATGTGACCAGCACTTTTTTTCTTTCCTTTTTTCCTCAACAAAAGCTATGGAGAGGTAAAGAAAATATTGATATTGGGACAGTTTCACGCATAGTATCCAAAGACCTTTCAAACTGTAAATGTGGCCTGTCGGTCACGTCCCTGACAAGGCTCCTTCCTGTCCCGTTGCCCAATTTCAAGAGCATCCTAAGATCATAGGGTTAGCTATGTTTCTTTCCATTTAATAAAAAAGACTTGAAGGATATGTTCAGTATTGTTTTTTTTTGTTAGTTTTTTTTGTAGGCAAGACTTTTAGGTATGTGCCTAATCAGAAATTGGCTTCAAATATTAACGTACTCTGAAAAAAAGTAAAAAAATAAAAATAAAAATAAAACCCTGTCATCAAACCCTGGTCTCTCCTGTTGTCTCCTAGTCTGGACTGTTTTAGTAGAAACAGAAGCAGTGGCTTCAGTTCATTAGCTTATACTGTAAATGTACTGTAGAAATGAGAAATAATTAACTAGGTGACACTGGCAATCACCCAATACTTCAACTGAAAATATCCTACACCTGTTTTGTTTTTCACTCTACCTCTTCTTGGAAAGACTTGAATGTCACATTTTAATAAAACATTACATTAAGAAATATACACTGTCTTGTTATACTTTGAAAGTCCATGCTTATTAGAAAAAGAAAAACCCAATCTAATAAGTCTATTAAGTATTCACATTCTATAAATATACATTATTTGTAAAACCACAAAATGAGAACAGCATAAAAAACATTAGCATTACCTTTTGTTTACATTACTGGCCTTAAGAGCTACATGGAAACTCTTCCACACAGAATATTACCAGTAAATTAGTATAAACTATATTGCAATTTCAATTTATATAAATGCCATTTTTGTCTTTTTTTTAATTACTTACTTCTGATTTTTGTATTTGCTCCTTAGGCTATACATGTTTATGCATACATTACTATATGTTTATGCAAATGTAAATAAAGGAGGGAAAAAGCCAAGCACGTGGGCAGAGATTTTATCATGCAGATCTTATTATATAATTTTTTAAATAAATTATTATATGTTTTATCAGTCACATATATATTATTAAATTAAGACACAGCTTCTTTAAAAAAAAAAAACATGAATAAATAAATTGTCAGTCATATACCAGGCGCTCTGGTTCGGGCTTCCAATGTCGTGATGACTTTACACGTTACTTTTGATGAATCAAGTGGTTTGTGTGTAGGCCAGATATAATACATTTACAGTCACTGTATTATATTATAGGAGAATATTAATTTATGTGTCGGGCAGCATTTCATGCTTTTAACAGATTTAATGGTTACACTTTTAAGGTTGCCCATTTTGAATGTAGCTCTTTGAGCGCCCTCTGCTGAAGACGGGGGGAACTGCACTGGTGCTGGTCCATACAAAGCTGCAAGGTATGCGAAGCTCATTCATTGTTAGCGCCTCATTAATACTCAGTCCACGGGATTTATGTCTCAGCATGAGCTCGAGTGCGCACACTGCCGAAGAGTGCTGAAGTCTGAGAGTCTGACTGAGATTACACTATCAAATGCACTTTTTTAAGCAAGGTAAGGAACCAACGTACATATTTAAAATCAGTTTGCTCTCTCGGACTTGATCTGTTCTGATCTAATATTACTGAATGGCGTGCGAGCTGAATATCGTCAGGTGTGTGTTAGTCATTACAGGTGCTTATAGCATCCTTATAGGAAAAAACTACTTTTTAAGTAAACCATGCTACCATTAACAAAATGCACATATTTGCAAAAACAAAAGTTTAGAATTTTTGCAAATCACGGGCTATCAAGAGGTTAAACCGTGTTTAAGGGGGAAAACGATTCTGTTAAACGTTTACTTGGATTTGGAAATGATTAAAACATTGGAAGTTGGCTGTTGCGAATGAAGAAATGTGTCTGTGAGGTCGTTGTGTTAAACTAAATTTAACCTTAATAAGGTTTTAATGCCCTTGGGTTAAAAAAAGACATGTAAATGTCCCGTGATGGCACTGAACTGCAGATCAAGACCTGAGGTTGTGAATTGTTTTAGAGTGGGGTGAAAGATCTCGCAGTCAATACGATGGTACTTAAATGCTTAAATAAAGAAAGTGTGACATCAACAAGTATAAGGCAGAGCTAGTGTATTTAGTTTGTAGTATGTTCTAAGAAAATGAGCACATGCTTTTGTATCACAGCAGCCTGAAGTCTGTAGTTCAAGTTTAATGAAGAAAGTGAAATTCAGGGTTTCATGAAAATGATCTTCGACTGGTTAATTATTTTATTTCACAACAGACAAGTCACATGCACTGTTCTCAATAACATGTGCCTTCACCTGGCCGTTTGATTTATGTGCAGGTTTTACATGCAATTTTGCATCGGCTGCTTTTCTTTTCCTTTCTTTTTTGCTTTAATACTTAATTTGAACAATGAACATTTCTTGAAATAAAGAAAATCCTACGCTTATTCTGAAACACTTTGGTAAAAGAGGTACCTACACCGGTGGTGGTGTACAGTTATCAACAGTGTGATGTTTGTTCTTGTGCCACTTTTCATCAGTCAGAGTTTTTCTTTAATATATGAGCACATCCAGTGAAAGCCTGAAGATGGAGTGGATTTGCTTTTAATGCTATTGATGTGTTTCTGTGTTTTACTAAGTTCACAATGTCTTTCTTTCGACCTTTTGACCCTGTTGAAAATGGGATTCAAAGTATAGTTATGTCTGTCTGCACAGGGGTAAACACATGTGTTGTGCCTTCAGGCTGCCTACTTGAATGTTTTTCTTTTTTGTGCTCCTATTACAAAGCATTTTAAAAGAAATATCACACATTCATTAAAAAAAACATTTCCAGATATTATTTTATTAAACAAAATTATCTACTGGCATTTGATAGTTGAGTTAAAAAAATGTACAGTGTGTATCACTCATGTCTGTTGACCTTGTTAAAGTAGAGCAATTTTTATTTTTTAATATTATGGCTCCGTTTTTGAGATAAAAAACAGCTGCTTCTGCAGAATCTGGATGCCAACTCCTCTGTAACGCTCTTTGTTTGGCTCAGCAGTTCTACTTGTTTCAAATATAGTTTAATGTACGTATTTTATAAGTGCATTTATAAATGTATTTTATTGGTCCCTAATAAATTAACATGCACCCAAGAGAACATCTGTGAAATGTTGGTGTAGATGGTTTAGAAAGTAAACGTTTTTGCAAGACCCTTTGAATAATAAAAAATCCTAGAAGTTGGTTCATACGGAAAAGAAAAGACCCTTTGAAACATATTCAAACTCAGGTCATAAACATGACAAATGAGCTGTTGTCTGCTCTGAGAAGTGTGGTGTGATGCTGAGAAAATAGCATCCTTCAATTAGTCCAACACTGGATGATTTTTATAGTTTTGGACAACCTGTTGAATAAGGATAACAACTTGGGTCATTTAATCACGAATTACAGTTGACAAAGTACTTGTTGTCTGACCTGAAATGGGGAGTTAAGTGACTTCTTAAATGTGCTGCCAGACCTGTCGGCAGATCCAGAACATCCACTAAACACTTGACAAGTTTCCTTTCTTCTTTGTCAAGTCTGAAGAACACGTTTTGCCCTGGGTTTTTGTGAACCATGTCACTGTTTAGCAAAAATGCTAAATGTTCCTTAAAGAAACTGCACACAGCAATGGTTACAATGTATGATGGTACATTCAAATTTCAAATAGACTGCTTGTCATGCTTTTACTAAGATAGGTGTGTATCCTTCATACTGGAATATATGGTTTATTCTCTAATGTAGACTTCTAATGTAGAATCAGGAAATGCACTGACCCACATACAGTGATACATTGCCATGTTTATCAGTGAGTCAAATCTGACGGTTTCCAAGTACTTGCATTGAGAATGTTTAGTTATGGCTGACATAACATCACCCTCCACCACTAGCACAGGCTTTTTTATAATCTGACTTTTACACAGTGGTGTTTACCTGGCTGACAGACAGTATACCACGTTGAAGAGTGAATATCTTCAAAACTAACCTTTGATACTTTTATGATATGTTATATGATATATGTTTATGATATATGATCATTTATGATAATTGCGTTGATTAGTTTGACAAGTGAAGATTTGACAAATCAAGATCTCGTGACAAGATGCAAGAAGTGGTATTGTCAGCTTTCCTTTTACAAAACAAAGTCAAGTCAAGTCACCTTTATTTATATAGCGCTTTTAACAATACAGATTGTCAAAGCAACTGAACAGCGTTAATTAGGAAAATAGTGTCAATAATGCAAAATGACAATAGTAAACACTAATTTTTCAGTTAAAGACAACATCCAGCTCAGTTTAAATAATATCTTTGCAATCATGTCAACGATATCGCTGGAAATGAAGTGTCCCCAACTAAGCAAGCCAGAGGCGACAGCGGCAAGGAACCAAAACTCCATCGGTGACAGAATGGAGAAAAAACCTTGGGAGAAACCAGGCTCAGTCGGGGGGCCAGTTCTCCTCTGACCAGACGAACCAGCAGTACGGAAAAATCAATTTAAGACGTAATAAAACAGACGATGAATAATATTAACAGCAATTATTATATGATGCAATCAAACTTATAGCAAAATGTGGTAGTTCTGTAACAAAGAACAAAGAAACTGTATTGTCATTATTGGGGATTTGTAGACATTCGAGAAGCACTAGTGGACACATTGTTGCTTAGCAAAGCTGCATTTATTTGATCAGTGATACAGTAAGACAGTAATATTGTGAAATATTATTCTGCCACAGCAGAATTATCTGGACAAATTTAATTTATTGTAAAAAATGTATTGTTTAATTTATTGTGGTGATGCAAAGCAAAATTTTTAGCAGTCATTACTCCAGTCTTTAGTGTCACATGGTCCTTCAGAAATCACAATATGCTGATTTGGTGCTCAAGTAACATTTCTTATTATCAATGTTGACAACAGTTGTGCAGTTTAATATTTTTGTGGAAACCATAATCCTTTTTTAGTACTCCTTTGAATAGAAAATCCAGCATTTATTTGAAATAGAATTCTTATGTAACATTGTAAATGTGTTTACTGTCACTTTTGGTTAATTTAATGCATTCTTGCTGAATAAAAGTATTAAAAAAATGATTTGACCCTAAACATAATTGTTATAATGAATTAATGTAGCCTATATTCCTTTAGATTAAAAAGAGTCTTTTAAGATCAGGATGAACATTCAGCAAACTTTATCCAAAGGTTCGACTGGCACTGTAGGTTTTTTTTTTTTTAAATTTCTACAAATGTGAGAATTTGTACACGAGCACATACAAGTGTTTTAGTTATATTTTGGTTCTGATACGATTCTCCCTTCCTGTTGTGCTAACCACCTCCTTACAGACTTGCCTTTAGCACTTAAAACACTTATTGCTTAGACATGTTTATCTGATCATGAGTTTTGATATCCACTGAACCTGGAAAACAAAAAATGCCTCCACAGGATGAACATCTTCATAACATTGAAGATTATATTTCACGTTATGCACAACCTGTCAAAACAAGGGGCAAGGCCTTTTTACTTGCTCCAAATAATCCTTAATATCTCATGTCAGTTGTTCATATAATTTTCTGTAGGACACTCAAATTACTGTGTTCCAGCATCAGGCAACTTTTGATTATAGGGTATGGTTAAAACGGGTTATATTTTAATACATATTTAATATTTACTGATACAGCTGTAGCAGTTAACTTAAGTTGGGAAGAACATTCCATCCTTTTATTAGAATTGAGTGATTGATATGAAATCTTTCCCACAGGTCGTTTGATAGTTTTCTGCTTCAGGGCTTTTGAAAGCATTGCCACTCCTACATAATTACATTTAACCTTTCCATATCTGCTGTGTCATGTGACTGGAGCCTATATTTTTCTCTCTCACCCTTATTCAAGGACTTTTAACTAATTAAGCCAGGCATTGTGAGCTCAGTTCAGTTTTGAGTTAAAGAACAGGTTTCCTTGCATAACCACCACACTTGTATTCTCCTCCCTCCTACTCGGTTTCAGGTGTGAAGCAGTGAGTCATTCCATATCAAACACCTGCACCAGTATAAATGAGTTAACGTCACTACATCCCGGACAAGACCCCCTATTCATCCATATACATTCAGCTGGAATCATTAGATGTGGAAAAGAACACCATGTTCTCAATCGGCCGAACCTGCCTCAGAGGAATCTACAGTTGTCAATGGAACAGTCAAAACAGAAGACAAAATGTGAGATTTTATTCTTTATACTTTGCATTGCAAAATGAAGTTGCACATCAATGATGCACCCATTATCTCTTAGAATTTGCAGACCGTTTTCACTTGACGTAATCAGTTGAGAGAGGCGGAATAGTTTACCATGTCTAATAAATGTAGAATAGACTCAAAGAAAATGGTTGTCATTGAATGCCTCCTTAATGAACAGTTCTCATGTAAATGCTCTTTCCTTTTAAGTGAGTACAAAGCTGTGAAGACTGGTGATCATGACAGGCAGAAAAGTATGTTAATTAGTAGCCTGGATACAAAAGCAAGGCTCTCAATTCTTTTGATTTGTGTCAGAAACAATTACCGATGCATTCAGAGATTTCGAAAACCCTGTGTGGGATGGACTCGTAATAATCAGCTATCATAATAAATAACCACTCGCTTTAGAGATTGGCCCCGATTTTCAATATTCGGATCAGTAGGCGAAACTCAACGTGAGAAGACGATGGCTGTGCGCCAGTGCCCCCCAGGCTCTCATTTGTGACTAACCTATGACTTTTTAAATCATCACACGCACACAGGTGGAGCATTGAGGGAAAGTTTTAAATAAACATATTCTTCTTTTTAGTGCTGATACATTTGTTAGTGGCAGTAAATAGGACAAAGAGAAGAGCTTACTGAAAAAGAAAAGAGATGATTGAAGTGTGCATTCTTGCTTTGTTTGTGTATAGAGGGCTTGCTGGTGGTTCTCCTTTCTGTCTTTTGTGTCCATACTTGCCCTGAGTTGGATGTACGTTTGTTTTATTGCCTTCAACGACCGCAATGATGTAAATTGGTGAGCACATAAACACAATTACACACTTGCTGATTATATGACTATATTGTAAATCCATTGGCCCAGTGTTTCCAAGTTTACATGTAATACCTGGTTGTCAGTCTGCCGTTTCATTTTCCTTTGCAGGCTTGCCTTCAAAACCTTAAAAAAATGGGTGAACTGGTACATGATAGTGATGGTCATTTCTGCTGTGCTGGCCACATACTGCCTCTTTCTGCTGGTAAGAAGAGAGAATGGAAACATTGAAGGGCATAATGTGATCCGGATTGCTCAGCTGGTAGCATTCGTAAACAATGGTTGCACCAATAAGAACATTCTCTTTTTTAATTTCAGGTATTTGGATTGCTGCATTTAATAATCAGAGAGCCCTTGAATTTACACTGGCTGCATAAGGTACTCTTTACCCTTTTAACTTGTACTTTTTGTTGTTTGAAGGTTGCATTAAGACTTTTTTTAAAATTAAATAAATGTTTTCTTTATTTTTGCTACTTTTTAAATGCCTTCGGTGCATTATTATTATTATTATTATTATTATTATTTTTATATATGTGTATATGTGTGTACCCTTGTCCCAGACACAGGCTGTCCATCTTAAAGTCAGTTATGAAAATATTATATAAACCATAAACAAGTTTTAATATTTTTTAACACAACTCATTTTCACCACAGTGAAAACCATTTAGCCCCTAAAAAATTTATTTGTAAATTTACTTGTTAAGGTAAATGTTATGTAAATGTATCAATTATACATAAAAGCTGACTATAAAATTAGCGTTAAAAAAGACCTCAGTGCTCATAGTTGAGGAAGCAATCTCATATTAGTTATCTTTAAAACTTGGGTAACAATCTATATCACTGTTGGTCATAGTGCATGAAGGAAGTTCACAAGATGTTAATGAATGATCCCAGTACATTAATGATTCTCTGTTCAGGTGTTTCTGTTTTTAGGTCTCTTCACTGTTGCTTTAGGCACAGCTGGATTTTGTATAAAATGGGAAGAGGAGTGGAAAACTGTATATATGTCATTTCAGGTAAGAAGCCTTCAACCATTCAGCATTTCAGTAATGGTACATTGTCCTTTATGTCTTTGCAGCTGGTTCTCATTGTATTTCCTGTTACCTTATCTATTCTAAATGGCAGTGAGATATTTTACACTAATAGCATGCATATCCCTCAGCATGATGTTATAGTATACTGCATTTATCACAAGACTGTCACTCAGGTGTCCATATCTCTAGTTACACCACTATTGTTGTTCTGCAGTGTATTAAAATCCCATCTTTGGTTTCCCGTAGGCCACTGCTCCTTTCCTGCAGCTGGGTGCTGTGGTGGCTTTGACCTTGATCAGCTGGCTGGTGTTCCAGAGTTATCATAGAGCAAAAACAGCTGGTCAGTGTCTCCAAAACAGCTTCTGACTGCACATTATATTGCTTATTAAATTGCTATTCACCAAACAGATAAATGCATGGACATTTACAAATTGATTTAAATTCAAATCAATAGAATTTGTATATTACCTGTTTTTTAGTGTGTACTTTATACCTTTGATTAATGTTACCAGTTGATGTAAATGTGAAAGTTAGCACCAGTGATGCCTTTAATTATGCCAAATACAGATATTTTTCTGTATGTCTTTGTCTTTGTAGCTTGTAAGGTTTTTATAATGATGACCTTCCTGGTAGTGTCTGCTGCTGTGTTCCTCTGTCCCCTTGCAATCTGCTCTCCATGCATTACTAATAATCTTCCCCCAAAACCGGCCCTCGTCGGACACCGCGGTGCTCCGATGGTAAGTGGTAACGCCTTAGTTGTAACTTTTACATTTTGAGACGTTCTTTCCTTTTGTTAAAACATGTTTACACTGGCGTGCCAATCAAAATCTTGTCTTTGCTGTTTATTCATGTAAACATTGCTGTTTACACACGATGAATCATCTGCTGTAGCTTCTGAATCGATTTAGGATTATGATGATTATGGCATCGTTCCCAGGTTATAAGCTATCAATTTGGAGGAATGTAATTCATTAGCGTGTCAGTCTGTTGGAACATTTTTCAAACATTAGCAAATTATAGATACAATAATCACAGTGAAAACATTTACAGTCATTAAAGAACATGTAGTCCACATCCAGAAATATCATTTGAATAGCTGACTATCTACAATTCATATACAACCTGTTAAATTCCACTGGCGGGGAAGGTGGAGGAGGAGGTGTTTTGACATCTAAAGCTCTGTAGGTTTGATCTCCCTGCGCTCACCAGGATACTGGAGGTTAACTGTGAATAAAAACAGAGGCATGTGAAGAACACAGATGCTACAGCTTTTGAATTTAGTTTAAACCGAGCATGGAAACCTGAACATATTTATGTAGCAAAATAATGGTCGTTAAAAAAAACCCCCGTAATTATTATTTTTTCCCTTTTAAAGGTGTCCTTCCCTCCCTTGTAGTAACAAGCCCAGAAAATAAAATTAATTAAGAACACATATTGTTAAATAAAGTCATGAAATCATATGTTGTAGTAGCACAGATTAAACCTGTAGATGAAAGTAAAATTGCTAATTTTATATTGATGTGTGTGTGTGTGTGTATGTGTATATATATATATATATATATATATATATATATATAATAATTATGTATTTAGATGGCTCCAGAGAACACCGTGATGTCATTCAGGAAGAGTATGGAGTGTGATGTGGTGGCATTTGAAACAGATGTGCAACTCGGGTAACAGATTGTCCCCCGAAACACTTGCTTCTATTTTGTATATATGTGTGTGTGTATAATGTATATGTTTGTGTGTGTGTTTAGTCCTCTTGTCTTTCTTTTTTCAGCAAGGACATGAAGCCTTTTCTTATGCATGACAATGGTTCAAGCTTTTTGCTGCGAACAACTGATGTGAAGGATAAGTTTTTAGGTCGAGATGGTGACATGAACACTAACTTCACATTGCAAGAGTTACAGACTTTAAATGCAGGCGAATGGTTTGTAAGGGTGAGGACAGATTTTTTTTTTTGTATTTTATGTGTAATTACTTTCTGTATTTAATTTAAGTTTTCCAATATGTATATAGCTTTTATGTAGTCCAACACATTTGACAGTAATTGCTGTTATGTAACAATATAATGGAAATAGAAATGTAAAACAATTCATTTTTACAATTCATTACACAATTATATTCATTATATTATATTATGAAAGATCTGTTGTAAAGACAGCTCATGTGCAGTTGCATTTGAATGCAAACTAGATAAAGCAGTCAACATCTCTCAGTCAACATGAGGAGTATCTGTTGATAAGAGCAAACAACCTTGAACTCCACTGAAGTTGCAGCTTTAATCAGTATGAGCAGATGTTGAGCAGAAAACAAAACATTCTTCCACTTTGCATTTGATATTCACGTTCTGTTTCAGTTCTTCAGCAGTGTGATGTCAAAATAACAGATTTGTTTAAAATTATATCTTTCGATTTTTCAAATATAGACCGATCCATTTCAGTCAGTGTCATCGCTCTCAAAGGAAGAGAAGATGGAGGCTAACAACCAGACAGTACCATCTCTTTCTGAGCTCTTAGTCATAGCCAAAAAGCATAACGTCTCCCTCATATTTGACCTAAAAAACGAGAAAAACTCAACAGGATTCCACAACAGCGATTCTTACTACATCACTGAAACGATCAAAAAATCAGGCATCTCACCAGACAAGGTAATAATATCAATGAAATTTAATTTCTATTACACTTTCAGAAACTTCTTGGTACGCCCTTTTTTTATTTGTATTAAATGTCAGAATCCTAAAACATTTTGTTTTGTTCTATCAGTGTTAACAAAATATTTCTATTTCCCTTTTTTATTTCAGGGTAGGTTTAGTAATGTTAGTACCTCTGCTTATTTATTTTATTTCAGATAAATAGGCAACATTTCTAATTTTTGTTTAAGTGTTTTTGAGTTTAATGTTACAATGTTTTGCACCATTGAATGTAGTTTTAGTATTCTGTATCACTTTCAGATATGGTGGCTTCCTCCAGAATATAGACATGACGTGAGAAACATTGCACCAGGGTTCAAGCAGGTGTATCATAATGAACAAGACATGAAAGCGGATGGTGGAAGCTTTCTGAATATGAAATACAGTTCACTGAATGCTCGCGAAATAAGGTAAGTGTAGGAGGATTGGTGCGGCTTATCTGACATGCAGAGACATGATGCTGCTGCCATTAATGTTGGTATGATCTCACAGCCTTAGGGAACGTTCGCACAGGGTTTTACTTTCTTACAAAGATGACAGAAATGCTATGAAAAATGAATGCCGATCTGTAGCTTAAACTTACAAATGTATCTTCTAATGATTATAGTAGCAGGAATGCCGAGTTACCAAAATTCAACACATGATGATTGATGAAACCGTTTCCAGACGCTATTGTGTCCGGTTGGGTGCACCTGTCATTTTATAATTTTACCTGACAGTTAAGATGAAGAAAGACTGACTGAAATCTTTACTGATGAATAAGACCATGTTAAAACGGTCCTGCCACTCCTGTCTATTGTGCCGAGAAAACTGGCTTGTTGCGACCTGTCTAAAGGTCGCTGATATGGAGCCAAAAACAAGTAAATAGAAGGAAGATTTGTTTCTTTTTTTATTTTGACATGCATTTTTTTATTTATTTCACTGCACAGTGAGCTGCGGGGAAAAAACGTGTCCGTGAATCTGTGGGTTGTAAATGAGCGCTGGCTCTTCTCATTACTGTGGTGCTCCGGGGCCAGTTCAGTGACCACCAATGCTTGTCACATCCTCAAAAACATGTCTAAGCCTGACTGGCATCTGGTAAAGCTCAGCCTATCTTTTCACCTATCACTGTGTATTCTGCCATAAAAGAGAAGATGTTTTTCCATTTTGTATTCACATGGGCTTGTCTGAATATGTAACTCCTCTGGAATCCTTTGTTTGTTTGTGTATCTCTCTTTGCACGTAACAATGAAAGGAGCCTAATATCTACATGGGAATATGGATCTCGGTTGACGTGATATCGTGGTTGTTGATGTTTGGCCTGTTTCTCTGGCAAAGGTAAGCAATGAAACTCACCACATGCAGTATAATGCTGTTAAATTGATTTTAAAGAATTTTTTGGTGGAGATTTTAATGTGTAGATTATAATAGCTGTAAACCTTTTAATTGTATATTTAATTACTTTTCTAATATTGTTTATAGTGTTGTTTATATGTGTAACTTTCCCATTTATAATACCAGAAACAATTGATTATTTTATAAATATACATTTTTGTGTATTATAAATTCTAATGTTGATTTAAATTCACATGCTTATGGGGACAATGTAAATAAATAATTTAATATAAATATAAATGTATTGTATATTAGAAATGGCAGGCTAAGTAAAATTTATTGCAAGTAAGCTAGCTGGTGTTACCAACTCTAAAAGATATCCAACCAGATTTCCCAAGAACTGAACATGTCCATCACACATAATGTCAAAATTCATAATACCACTCAAAAGAAAAACAAAAAGAAGCAAATGTTAATCATAGCTATGAACAGTTATTTATTTCAGGACTTCTAGATTAATTTAATAAAAGTAGTCAGAAGTGCCACTAATTGAAGAGTCACTCAAATGTTGATGAGCAGAGAGTTTATAATGGGCATTTTTCTCTTTGTTTATAAGCAGGAGGAGGAACCATGTTTTTCGTCAGAATACAAGCGAGAGAAGTGTCCCCCTGCTTCCTCGCTGAATGATACCATCCCTGACATGACAGGGCGATTCCTTGGTTCACTTTTTGAAGGATTGTATGTGGGCATTGTCAGAAAACCACACCATGTTAAATGTTATGCTGTAAATTCACATAATATTTGTGCTTTTAATGTAGACTGCATATACAAGACATTGTTTGATTTGAGAATTTATATATTTCCTCATTAGTGCAGCATATTGTGCAGTGCTGCCACCTCTTGTCAGAGTTAGGTCAGGAGAACTGACACTTTTCTTAAATGACAAGACATTTTACAAGGGTTGTTTACTTTTGTGAAAAATTTTAGACCTGTCCCAAACATAAACAGTGTTCAGTGTCAATAGCAGGAAAAGTGTTTTGCAATATGAGCATGATAAGTGTAGTCAAAGACACCTAGTGTTTTAAATGAACAAAATTTGTATATAGATATGTAAATATTTTTAATTGCTATTTTTTTTGGCAAATGGGCATTCAAGACAAAATTCAGAAAAGAGGTGGTTTAAGTATAACTGTGTTGTGTGTTCATTTAAAAAAAGTATGGGAGATCAAGGTTGGCTGGACAAGATCTGGCTGGTACAGGGTTCATTTTGGGGTCGTAATATTTTGGTGTTGCCACAAAACTGAATGTTTGCCCTTTTGGCTCACATTGGTTCTATAAAGACATCTATAAAAATTACTTTATAAATATTAGTTATGGGAGACATTTTTCATTTGTTGTACAGTTTGGATACCTGTGATTAATTATGCTTTCCAGGTGACATCATTTATTGCTAATATAATGATTCATGATATATTATTAATTTTCACAACTTTTACAATCTTTTAAATAACCAATAGGGAAACTTTAGAAGATGTTTTGCTCCTCAAAGTGCCTGTTTATACCTTTTATGCCATCCAAATATGTAATATTTCAAGAATCAGTCACTGATTCCCCATATTGAACACCCCATATTGACTGAACAATAACTTTGTTTGAGCGATTAACAAGTTATTTTTATTGATATATTGCAGTCCTAAATACGTGGGTGGCATAACCGGTATAAACGGGGGCAAAAGCAACATCTAAAATCTCCCTATTGATTATTTACAAGATTGTAATAGTTAAATAAAATTAATGATATATCATACATTTTTATTTAATCATAAAAACACTATCTGGCAAATTTGGGTTAAGTGGTGTTAGTTTGGTTTAAAATAAACGTTTACATCTGTTCAGTTTGTTGCATCCCTTTATAAATTGTGCCAACCAACCACACAACCTCAGCCACAAGTGCACAATATAACTTTTTTATTTTTAATTTTATTTTTATAAGCAAATATTTTGTGATACTGAATGTGAGATTTTCATCAAGGGAAAAAAAATCGACCAGTCAACCCTGCCCTTGCTTTTTAATGTGAATTCCTTGTATAAAAATGGTAAAAGCTGTTGTTGTTTCAAAATCTATATGTTTGCACGATGTAAATGTAATAAAGCAAAAGTTTCAATTAAATTGATCACAAATACTTTGCATAATGCTACTGGAACGTGTCACCAACCAATGCACAGACTGAAGGCAGGTCTGGATCAGCGTGTGAGTGGAGCGGAGTGACCGAAGAGATAATACACAGCGATCTGTAACCAAATCCACTCCGGGATTTTCATTTGCCCAAAGCGTTGATGGAGCGACATCGAATGAAAAAAACACTGAGGGAAAAACTACTCCTAACAAGCTAGTAACTAATATCATGTTTCCCCCCCCCCCCCCCCCC